AACCCTTGTAACCTCCAGAAAGACTCTCTTCAGTCTGGCTGGAAAGGCCTCTATCAGGTACTGCTAACCAACCCTTGTAACCAAACACCAGGGAACTCATGCCTGGATTCATGTGACACATGTAAAGAAAGCACCTAGCCCGGACTGGACCTGCACACCATCTGATGAACTGACAATAAAGATTCCCTGAAACTGAAGTAGACAAATTCTGATGAGACAGTTTTCCCAACATGTCCTAACCAGGGCTATTGAAAGTTGCCCGCCAGAACCCTGATGCTGACTCAACGATTTAGATGCTCTCCAATGCTTATGATCATAATAACATATGAACTTTATTTTTTTTAATGTTTTTATTGATTTTAGAGAGAGAGGAAGAAAGAGGGAGAGAGAGAGAGAGGAAGATCTATCGGATGCCTTCTGTATGCACCCCAACTGGGGACTGAAGCCACAACCTGGGTATGTGTGCTGACCAGGAATCAAATTGGTGACCTTTCAGTGCACGGGACAACACTCAACCAACTGAGCTACACTGGCGAGGACATAACATATGAACTTTAGATAAAAGGTGCCTGAGAGTTTTACTTTTACCCTTCCTCATTACTCAAATGTGACCACAATACGTTTCCAATTTGTGCACTTTTCTTCCAATGATCTTATTTGGTTGTTCTGGGGTGATGGTAACTTTAAAGACACTTTTCTTCATTCTTATTCAGTACTTAGTACTTTTCCTCTCGCAGCCTTCCCCCTGCCCCCTCATCCAAGACCCAGGTCAATAAAAATACAGGATATTTTTGTTCAAGACTCCTTTGGCAGTGAGATAACCCCTCTGTCTATGCTGATCCATCTGATCCTCAACTGGAGTGCAGTTCCATGGGGGAAGGTGGTACATGGGGAGTTTGTGCTTTCTCCATTTTAGCCTCTTGCTTATAGAATAAGTGATTAAAGGCTTTTCTGTTGCATTTATTTTTGCCTATTATCTTAAATCAGCTACTTGGACACCTGGCAGCTCAGCTCAGTTGAACTCCTAACAGAGATTATGTGGGATTGGGATTGTATTAAAGATTCAGTGCATTATGAACTGCAATTTTCAGGAAAGAGAAATTTAGTGTGGGAAGGGCTTAAGGTGTTCATATGGGAGGTCTAGAAAAGGTAGAACTGATTTGAGAGGTAAGGTAATGAGTTTTTTTAAAAAGGACAAGTTTAACTTTTGAGATCTTGTAAAAATAGCAAGGGAAAAACATGTAGTAGGAAATAAATATATATCTGGTACATAGAGACAGGTTACTAGTCATATAGGTTGGGGATTTTAATCCAGGAAAAAACATGTTCAGTGATAATAAAAGTAAGCCAGAGGCACCAGATTTAACTTTCCATATGTTATAACTAAAAACTATACAAAATATATGAAAAAAAAGTTTTTCAGATATTGGGCATAAGATAATACAAGGTAGGCATCCCTGAGAGAGGGAAAACACATTAAATGAACTCTATGATTGCTGCAGCTTACTGCCTATAGAGAGCTTCCAGGCCACAGCACAGAAATGGGGGACCTAAGTGGAATCTGGTGATCTTGATCATCCTAAATTGCAGAGACAGATATCAGAGTCTAGGAAGGTCAAGGAAGCAAGAGTTTGCAGGGGAAAGTGCCAGAGAGAAGAGATCTGCTCAGAGACAGAAAGAGCTCTGAAGATATATAGAAGGTCCCCCTAGAGTCTTTAGCTAAGCACTGATCAGCACATGCATGTACATAAAGAATCCAAAGAAAAATCTACCTAAAAGGACTAAAGGAAACTATCTCCAAAGCTCACACAGGCCCCATAATAGTTCATGCTCCCAAAAGGAGAGTGAGAAAAAAATAAATGACGTAGACTCAAAAAAATGTAAGAATGACAGTAGGATTCTCATCAGAAACAAGTTAAGCCAGAAGACAGTAGAGTAAAATTTTTAATATACAAAAAAACCCTGTCAATGCTGAATTCTATACTTATTAAAAATATCTTTCAAAAATGAAGACAAATAGAGGCTTTTTTTAAGTGTATAAAAGCTGAAAAATTCATCACCAGCACATGTGCACTCCAAAAAATATTAAAGGGAGTCCTTCAAGAAGAAAGGAAATGATACCAAATGTAAATCTGGATCTATAGAAAGGAATGAAGAACAGAAGAAATGGTTTTCAGTAGAGGAAGATAAGAACATCCAGGACTGGTTACATCTAACACTATAGGCAAGACAGATAACAATTTTAATCCCTGGGATCACCCTTTCCAGACCAGGAAAAAAAATCTCTATTCGGTGGACTGATCTGAACATTTAACAAAAAAAAAACCTTTAAATCCAGTGTGGAAGAAAACAGATAAAGTAAGCGAAGAACTTACCAAAACCCCAAATTTAATAAAATATGAGCTCAGAAAAGAGATAATACATCCACATGAAATAAAGTGGTAATTTGAAGAGTTGAGGCAATAAATTAAGAATCAAAAACATCATTGTAGATCTAATCGAAATATTAGGAAGAACAAAGGAAACAATATACATGGCTAAAACTGTAGATAAGCTATTGTAGAAGAAAAAGACAAAGATAAAAAATTAAAAGAAAATAGATATGAAAGCCAGACAAAAAAATAATGTAACAAAGACAAGTGATGTTCTTGAATTAGAGTATTAAAAATGGAATAGAAGACATGCAGAAAATATATACAAGAAAAATTTCCTTGGACGGAAGGAAGATCTTAATTAACAAATAATAAATTACATAGATAATCCAAGAAAACACAATTTAGAACAAAGCATGTCAGCGCATATTCTTATTTAAATTTCAGAATAACAAATTGGAAAACGTAAAAACTCAAACATCCATATAGCAAAAGCAAGTCACACCCAAAGCAAGGAGTTGAAACATACTCTCAAACATCTAAGGCCTTACAAATATTGCTATTTTGATTCCTTCTTGAAACAAACCATACTTTAAATCATATCTGGCCAACCAAGAAATAATTCAAAATAAAAACTCATATCAGAAAGGCCATGGCTTAAAAAATGTGATGAGTATTGCGATCATTATATATAGGCACACCTCATTTTCTTGGGCTTTACTTTATTGTACTCCACAGATACTGCATTTTCATCAATACAGAGGCAAGACTTTCCACCATCAAAAGATTATGACTCATTAAAGGCTCAGATGGCTCATTAAAAACTTGTTAGCAGTTTTTAGCAATAAAGTACTTTTAATTAAAGTAGGTACACTGTTTTATTAGACCTAATGCTATAGCACACTTAATAATCTATAATATAGTAAAAAATAACCTTTATATGCACTGGGAAACCAAAAAATTCATGTGACTTGCTTTATTGTGATATTTGCTTTGTGTGGAAGTTTGGACCTGAACCCACAATATCTCTGTGCCTGTAAGACTTTAAAACTAGGAAATCATTGTTACAATATATGAACTTATAGACTTTATTAAAATTAAGAGGTAATTAATAAATAAACTCAAGATGTGGGGGAAACAAAGTAAAACGTTTTTTAAAAATGATTTTTTTTCATCTTGCAAGGCAATATGTTAATTTTTAATACACCCTGAAATTAAAATATATACTTTAAAAAATATAAAGTAATTCCATCTTCAATAATTTTGCAAGTTTTCTTTTAAATGTTAGCGGGAATAAGAAATTAATATCTCTTGAATAATGAAACATTTATCTAAAGTCCAACAACAGTTCCTCTGCTTTTACATGTCTGTTTTTATTTATAAGTTAGGCTCCAAATAAAAAAATATGTAAGTATCTTTTTTTAAAAAGAGAGCATATATTATGATTCATTTTTTTACATAATTTCTCTATCTAGTCTTCTTTCTATATTAGTATAAAGATATTTTTGATTTGATGATTAATACTGAAATTGATTTTTTAGTGTTAGCGAATTAGTTATTTCTTTGTTCGTTTTCTTCTTATTGCTTGAATGCTTTTAAATATGCATAATTTTTCCAAAAACAACAAAGTTATTATTTTTAGGAAGTAAACCAAGGTTAAAGACTAGAGAACCCCAATAGTTAAGAAAAAAATGGAAAAAAGTTCCAGTAGAAGACTGAGAAATACAGGAAAGAAAAGCAGAAGGTAAAATAGGAGAAAACCAGTGTTTCAGAAACTAATGAAAGAGTAAGCTTGAAATATGATATAAATCAATGGTGTAAAATAAAGGTGTTCAAATATTGGCAAGTTACCAGTGACATACATAAGAGTAACTGGAACAATAATAATAATTGGGACAATAGACAAATGAGTGGTACATAAAAAATTAATTACTATCCATAAATTATTAAGTATAAATTGTCAACACCTAAAACATATACTGGTAACAATCAAGCTGTAGCAAGGTTAAATAAGAAGAAATCCTGTCAAACCACCTTATTTACTTTTTTTCTAATAAGGTACTAAAGTATGGACTGAAGTATTATAGTAAACATAATTATCTTGATTTTAACAAAGGAATAAATTTGCATTGGAAGGGATACATACATTCCTTCTTAGTGAACACTTTGAGGCTATTAGGCAGGCAGGTTGCAGAATTGCAGATACCCAAGTTTCATTCTATCTATAAAAATTTGATTCCAGAACAATAGGTAAGAACTAAACAATTTCAAAAAAAAAAAAATGTATGTCAAACAAAAATATTGATATTGAGTACAGTAAGTCTATATTAACCATAAAACTTTAAATAAAACTTAACTAGCAAAACTTTATCAATGAATAAAAACAAATTTTGTTTTCTCCTTGTAAAACATCTTATTTGGATTTTTAGTAAATTAAAAGCTTACTGACTTTTAGGTGTTTTATTTAATTTTCTCATGAGAAGTGAAAATGTTAATGCAATGTCAACCAGAAAAACAGTGGAGAAAGGGGGAAAATGTAAGATTCTTAGAAGAAACTGAAAAAAAACATTAAGAACTAGATAATTTAAAAATGCCTACATTAAATATTTATTCTTACAAAAAATTTACCTTCTTTTTTCTCTGCTATCCATGTATTCAATTCTTGTATTGTTGCTTTGTCAACAGATATATGCACTTTAAGTTTATCCAATTCTTCCTGAAGATTCATCCTATGCAAATTAACACAATAAGTAATTATTTAAATAAATAATGTAACAAATAAATAAAGGCAGCAGGTTATTTAAAAATATATAAAATAGCCTGGCCGAGCATGGCTCAGCAGTTGAGCATCGACCTAGGATCCAGGTGATTGGAGTTCGATTCCTGGTCAGGGCACATGCCCAGGTTGCAGGCTAGGCAGACGATCAATTACTCTCTCATCATTGATGTTTCTATCTCTCTGTCTCCCCCTCCTTTCCTCTCTCTGAAATCAATAAAGATATATTTTTAAAATATATATATATACATATATAACATAGACAGTAGTAAAACAAAAGCAAAAATATATTAACATTAACAAATCCTAACAATAAAAATTGAATTTTAATGAGGACCTGGAAATTAAAAAAATTTAAGTGATTTTTAACTTTCTCTAAATAAATATGTTAAATACTTAAAACATAGACTACACGATTTTTTTAAATCATGTTTTGAATTACCTGACCACTTTTTAGATATGCTATGTAAGGCAATAATAAAAAATGGTAATATATACCACTGAAAGCAAAAATAGTAAGTCTCTAGATGCCAAGACAAAGAACCCTTACTAGTAAAATGGAATCGAGATACCATAGTGAGAGAGCTGAATCAAGTACTGCCCATGGAAACCTCAGACCTTGAGACCTGAGTGGAGATAGAAGTTTATGCTCAAGGCCCTTTGTGACTGAGAGAAAACACTGGGTTAACTGCAGAAGGCTGGGAGACAAAATACTGCTGACTAAAAACCTGAATACAAGAGCTTATCTGGTTAGAGTTCTACTAAAAAGAGGCTTCCTGTCCCAGTCTGAGGGCAGGACAGAGTGAACCATGTGAGATCAGAATCCTAAGTCTATATTACTGGTTTCAAAATTGAGCCATATATATTTGCAGAACCTGATAAATTGATAATAATGTAAAAACTGGTCTATGGCCATGTACACCGGAGAGTTCAGGCAGATACAAATACTTAATACAGGGAGGCTTCCACAACTAAAAGAAAGTATAGAAGAAACAACACCACAGAAAATAATTCTCAAAGAAATCAAGTTTGCAGATAAGAATAAACATATAAATAACTTCAAAGCATGAATGACAGTGTACATAGTACCACTTCTAAGATGAGAGGATGCACGACAAGAAAATAGAGATAATAGAACAATTAAAAATGATTTTTTATTTAAATTAGTTTTAAAATGTGGGTGGGGGGAGAAAGAGGTGACAAACATATATTAAAAAGAACAGGGATTTATGGAACAAAAGAAGACAAAAAAATGAACCTATATATATGGAGAGAGAAAGAAATGCTAAATAAAACTAAAATTATTAATAACATAACAAGTGAAATTTAAAATTCAATGGATGGGTTAAATAGCACACAGAAAAAGCTAATGAAAATTGGTAAAATTTCAAAGACCACACAAAGAAACAAAGAAAAGTAAAACAGTAACAATATGTGTGGGAATGAGAAGTCCAGAAAACAACTAACAAACTTATTCAATCTGATAACTGAGAAGATTTGGGGGTGGGGAGACAATAATTAAAATACAAGGACTGAAGATTGAGAACTGAGAAAAAGCATGAATAAACAGAGTAAGAAGTATGGAAAAATGCAAACAGGCTAAATAAAACTACTCACACTTAGAATCAGTGAAACTTAAAAAGAGACAATTTTAAAATCCACTGAATTGAAAAAAAAAAACAATTAACAACTAAATAATTTTGGAATATGTTTCTCATAAACGAGAAAAGCCAGTAGGAAAAAGTAATATTTTCCACATTCCAAAGTTTACTATTCATCGTCATAGATGAAAGAGCTATTAAAAATATAATTTAAGGATAAAAATAAACTCAAAAGCAACAAATGAAATAAGTTAGGCAATGATGATGAAAGACAGTTGTAAAATTATATGTGGAACTAAACAAACATTATTATGCAAAGCAACCATAACAATATTGAAATGAAGGTAGAGATAAAATAAGGTAGAACTGAACAAAATGATGTAAGAACATGGAAAGAATCAGAGTTAAAGCATTTTTAAAATCTTTGCATTGTACCAGGATAGAGGTACTGATGAACTTCAGACTTTGTCAAATAAATGATATATGTTATAATTTCAAGAAAAAGCATTTAAAGAATGAAAAACAAGTATAGAATTTTCAAATCAGGAGAGGTCAAAAAGAGAAATAAAGAAAATGTAATCAAATCGAGTTTGGATTAGGTTCCTGCTCTGTTTAGCTAAGAACAGGGAACACACTGAAGCAAGATGGCCCCATAAAGAAAAAGCAGATGTAGCTCATCTCAATTTAGTTTTCTTTGGCTCTCAAATCACTAACCCAGCAGAACAAAGGACTACAATTGTTGGTAATGTTATTTCTTGCTTCTTTAGAGGTATTTTATACTTACAGCTTGTTCTTTTTTAGGAAGAACTCACACAATCCTTACTTCTAATAAGAAGTATTTATAAACATTTATTTGGGGCCACCTTATTCTTTAGTCAAACTAAGTTTCAATAACCACATCTTACTGGGTGTTTGAAGGAAGGGCTGACAGAGTCAGTGCCCAGGCACTACTGAGCCCGATGAATATTGCCTGTGTCCTGATGACCCACTTAATCTGGAGTTTCAAATTATACTATGTTGAGTATGAGGACCACAATTCAGAACCCACTTCTTACTGGACAAATTATATAAAATGACTGTATTTAGATGCTGGACAATAAGCAGCAAAGAACTATTATCTCTGAGGAATACAAACTCAACAAAGAGTGAAACCGAGGGTCTTTATAACTGATTAAATTTCATTTTAAATCATAGCCCTAGAAGTTATCCCCCTCCCACCCAACTTAGTCTTTTGCCCAGATAACCAGCAACTGCTGAGGCACCAGAAGAGAGTAAGCACAGACCTGACTAAGGGTCACATGGTGGAGACCTCGAGCAGGCTAAAATTAACACCTTGACCTTAAAAATTATGTTTCAGTTCCTGAGCCCTAAGGTGGAATGACCCCCTGGCTGCTTTACCATAAGACTGTGTTAGTGTAGGTAGCTAGTTAGGTATTAACAAGGGAGAATAGAGCCAGACATCTAATTAAGCTGGATTAACTAGGAAGCTACTGCTTCACAGCATCCCAGGGGACAGCCCCATCCTCTGCCAAAGGGATTCAATCCCTGAGTAAGCACGAGCAGGCAGGAAAGACCAGTTTTGCAATCTCCCTAGGAAACAAGGGATCTGTTCCTGGAAACTAC